CCCCCCCCCAAACTTTGGGGGTGAATAATGGACCGTTCCTTATACTAGTGGGGAAGAGTTTCGGGTGCCCTACAAGACTAGAGATATGTACATCCGGCATTGTCTCGGTCATACTAATATTGGATGTAATCAAACAACGCAGGAACATTTTTCAATTATCGATAGTTTGACGGAAATAAGTCCGCTTTTATTCCAACGACGCCTTCCTAAAAAGTACATCCATAATGCTTTGACACTGTCGACGTTCTCATATTTTTAAATTGTTTTATATTTATTTAGCCGGTCGTACGTAATCAATTTATTGTTGCAGGTGCAGCAGTTAAAATACTCGCTTGTAATCTTGTGGATCTCTTTAGGGGTATATCCTCCACCTGGTGTTTTTCAGAACGCTCGATAGTAGGAGTCCCCTATAAAAATGAAATTTCTACAGTTTCTTTTGAGCGCACAAATATAAGCTATTAGGAACGGACCATTATTTCTCTGACGGGCGCGAGAAGGGAATAGACAAAACTGATTATTTTGCATGCAAACAACCTATTATTTCCTTTTTGCAGCGGCAAACAATTTATTTGGGGGTTGCAAACAATTTATTTCAAAATTTTCCATTTCCCCACCCCACTTGCAAATAGAGTATACATTCGACTTGCACTCGCTGCTAGGACTTTTCGAAATGAGAACTGTATGTGAAATGTTGCCTTATTGTTGCGTTAAAGTCTAAAACTAAATTTATTGGGATGACTACCAGTTTACAAAAGCACTAATCTTTTAATTTCACAGTATTTTACCTCTGTATCACTAGTTGTCTCCTTGGAGCAGCGCACAGTCTCGCTGTAATTAAATAAACATTTGCTACATATCCCTTGAAAACCAAACAAATAATGCTATCTTAACTCAGCATGATAAAACTTATATTTTATCGCATGTTGTGTTCATTTTAAAATGTAGCCGGTATTCCGAGACAACATTAAATTATTACAATGAGTTACCTTGTCCAGTCTCGCGAAGTACACCGAAGTGTAATCAAATTTTTCTCGACATCTCCTTGGAAATCCATCTGTACGGTTTCTGTTTGCTCTGATGCTCAGGATATTTACAAACTTTACTTGGCCGTCATCCCAAGCCAAATTCGTTCCTGTGCTCGGGACAAATTGTGAGATCTTCTTCGCACTCGTCGAACAATCCAACGCGGGCCAAACATAGTTTACCATCTTCCTCTGCTCCTTCCTGGGAGGCTTGAAAACAACCATACAAGTGCTCTTTTGTGCTACTTGTACAATTCTTCACAATAAAAATAGATCTAGCGCTCTTTTTTCGAGTATAAAGTTTACATTCTATCTTAGAATATTTCTGAAAAGAATCGAAAAGACACATTTAAAATCGCCCGTCTTTACGAAATGTCTGCTGGTATGGTTATACATGGAAAGCGTAGGAAATGTCGGTGTCTGGTGCGTGTCAAGCAATCCTCTCAGCGCGTTACCAAAAGAATGCCGTTGGAAAAAAAAACAGTTTAAAATATACTGATTGAATTCGTATTTTCGATATATTTGATGATTACTTTGCTTTTACTGCAAACAAATAAGTACTTTTTCATCTGTAACCGAGGTAGTATAAAAGGGCCTAAAAGTTGCGGTGCAATAAAAAATAACAATCAAATAAAAAGCGGCCTGGCTTCTCATATGATTTTTAGATAAGATAAAACTGGAATGAAACATGAAAGTGGTTTTTCAAAATACTCCTAAAGTTCTTCTCGAAGCTTTCCTTGCGTTATGGAGACTTATAAGCAAACGGACTCTATATTACGATACTCTGGCACGTGTCACGTGACCCTCCGAGGCACACTGGATTGCCGTATATCGAGGGCAAATTCGTCATTTAAAACATAACACACTGCTATTATTATCATTGCTTAGTTCATCAATTACTCAAGCTGGAAAAAGCATTGAAATGAATCAAAACATGGCCGCTTGTTTGCTTTTTCTCGCTATTTTAGGGGTATTTTCCGTTATTTCGCAAAATGGTGAAAATTGTCAAGTTTGATTGATGGCTCACAAATATAAAAACAGGACAATCATATATATTTATATTTGTACATAAAGATCTAGGTTTCTACTTTCACTTAAGGAAATATTTTTTTTGGCTTGAGATTTTGGAGAGACACCCACATCATGAATTCACTGTATATTTGGCAAGGATTTTTGCACATTTTTTTAACAAAAACTGAAAACTCGTATAGCCCTCTTAAATATTAGTATCTAGATAAACCGTTTGGTATAGATTGTAGGTTCATTGTGGGAAACAAGTGAGCCAAATTTGAACTAAATCGGGGGAAGGAGGGGTCGTGTAGACTCGGCTACATGGTTGTCAGGTGGAGACGTTCTAAAAAAACACGGGGTTAGATAAACTGCGCGAACGAAAGCTCAAAAACAATTAACTAAACTCCGCTAAGACAAGCAACAAAAGTACGCGAAAAATATCCATGTCAGTTTTCCAATTCTTTGACATAATTTTCTAATTGTGAAATTACGTGCGCCGCGCATGTGAATACAAAAAGACTACAATGTAGGGAGGGTAAAATAAAAATTGTTATTTGAAATTTAAAACTAAAAAGATTTTCTACAAACAGTCCGTGTATAAGTTTTGACTAATTTCTCCTTTTTTTTCAAACTGAGAAGAAACAGGGTCAAGATGGACAGCATAAAAGAAGCTATATCAGCTATCTCCATAGGTATAGCGGTCGCCGAGTTCCTTCGCAAAACTGGTCGCGTGTTGCAAGCCATCGAGGTGTACAGGGAATGTTTGATCATATTACACAGTCAGGCGCAGGCTATTGATAGTTCATTGGCAAACTTTACGTTCCGAGCCATCTACAAAAAAATAATCTGTGCTTACGTTTACATAGAGGATTACACAAGTACAGAAAAATACATCAGGGAACTCCTCCTATACCTAGACTATAATGACACCGCTGAAAAAGGATGGCTACATTTACACCTGGCAGAAATACTTCAGGTACAAAGCAAATTTATGGAGGCCTGGAAATTTTACGAATCAGCAATCAACATCATGACAACAATTGGAAACACACATGGCCAGGCACTATGCTACTCAAAGCTCGGATTAATGTTCCAATCACTCGGTCAACATGACAAGGCCCGAGAATATCAGGAGAAAGCACTCGCTATCAGAATAGAAAT